AATTCCTATTGGTCATTCTACTACCATGAAAGAGGAATATGAAACAATAGCACTAGTTGAAAAAAAATTATGTACCAAGAACATCAGTGGGCAACTTATGTTGATTTAAAAATGGTAAACTTCTTCCTTGGACAGCAAAGTGGATATACAAAATACCCCTGTTTTTGGAAGAGCGGGGCTAAAAATCAGCACTGGGTTTACAGAAATTGGCCTTTAAGAGATGATATGGTTCAAGGAAACCGTAATTCAACGAACCTTTGGGTACGAGAGAAAAATCTATCACCCCTACATATCAGGTTGACTGGGTTTACAGAAATTGGCCTTTAAGAGATGTTATGGTTCAAGGAAACCGTAATTCAACGAACCTTTGCATATCAGGTTGAGGCTTAGAAGCAATTTATGAAAGTTTTACGAGTCGGCACTTGTCACGTATGTTTCCTGGGATTAGCACGGAAAAACTAAAAGCTGGTATATTTGATGGCCATCAAATAAGGCAACCTACCAAAGATCAACAATTTACCACATCAATGAATGACACTTAATCTAACGCTTGGTGTAGTACAAAATTTTCTTGGGAATCGTACAGCAGAGAATTACATAGAATTAGTAGAAAGAAAGCTTTTAAATTTTAATATTTTTGGTTGTAACATGAGCATAAAAGTTCACTACTTCCACAACCAACTAGATCACTTTCCAGAAATGTAGGCGATTGTAGTGAAGAACAGCAAGAAAGATTCCGTCAGTACATTAAAACTATAGAAGATCGATATCAAGAATGATGAGATAGCTATATGGTGGGCGACTACTCTTGGAGCCTTCAGCGAGACTGCCCTAGTAAACTCCATGCTAGAAAGTCTTATAAAAGAACATTTTTAGGTGATAAGTGACTAATGTAAGTATGGATGTATGTGAATCTACTTTTTGTAATAAATACTATGTGTTTTTTTAACTATCAATAGCAATAGTTATAACGTAACATATATACAAGTTAAAAAATAGTAAATATTGCTTATCTTAAAAACTAGATCTGATAGACGATATCTAATGGCTGTTTTGGGTTTTGCACCCAAAAATTATCCAGGAACAGTTAAAAAACCGCAGGCAAAAAAATGTCTGTTGGCATCCATGAAGTTACATCGTATTTTTAACATATAGTGAGACATTATTTAGATATACTGAATATTATTTAAGATTCATAACCCACTAAACATAGAAACTTACAAAATTTTCGGCTTGCAACTAAAAGGTTTTATGAAAAAATTTAAAGCATTCTTATTTTTGTGTATTTGCAAAATAAAGTTGCAGAATATTTTCTACCATAAGTTAATTTTCGAAAACCTATTTAAGTTCAATAGCACAAAATATCCGCTTTAAAAATAATAAGTTGCAGAAACTTGCTGCAAGTTTATTTTCGCCTTATAAATAACTTATTTCGATAAAAGTATGTGGAAAATTTATTATAATTTTGCAAATTTTAGTTTATATTCGGGAGTTTTTAGTATGTTCTTAAACGAACATTTATATTTTTAAACTATGAATGAAGGTATGTAGGTACTTAAAATTAATTTTTGTAAATTATCAAAATCAAATTATCAAATATATTTCAAAACTTTATACACAGATTCAATAACATAAGTTTAGTAGGTACAAATAAAAACTTAACATGGATGTTTAATTTTCAAATTATCTTTTTCTAAATCTGATATGATTACAACCAGCCAAAAAATAATCCACATGATAAATGATTATTCAACAGAGTTTTGCATTCATTGTTTTCTCAATATTTCGAAAAGAACGAAATAATTCAGTTTGAACAGTTGAAGTGTAAATGGAGTGGTACATAGTGTATATCAAACTTGACTAAATGATCGGAACAGTGTAATAGCTTTGACTGCTGACAGAAGGTATTCGAATTCACGGTTTTCGTAAAGCTTATAAAATGTACCAAGTAATGTTTTATTTTGTTTATTTAAGAACACACTGATATTTTTACCCATACCTTCAGATATTTCCTTCCCTTTCATTAACACCTGAATTTTTTCTTAATATCATCTTATTTGCACTGCAAAATTTTGTATTACATTAACAAAGGCATGTTCTACAATAGGCAGTTAAAATATAAATTTAGTTTTAAGTGTGAACCTCGTTGTATAATCATCGGTTAACAACCATTATGGTAAAAGCATATTTATTTTAAAAATATCTCTAAATTACCTAATTCCTCATTTAGTTTTATACAATAAATTCAAGAGTTAAAAAATTAATTATGAATTTTCGCGAAAGATCGATATTATACAAATATTTTTCACATAAACCGAGTGTTTATAAGTGTCCATAAATAATCAAAATACTAGTCATTCGAAATGCAATCATGCAAATGTGCAGTGTGCAAGCATAAATTTAAATTGCTAAGATTTTAATGGTTACGTAAGTGGAAGATGTACTTTACGATTCTAGCAATATTAATTTTATAATAACTCCATGTGGCTCTAAATTTATATCGACAAATCGACTTTTATGTATTAAAATTCCGAAAATATATTTTTGTTTCTATGTAATGGTTTTTGCTATTTAATTTTATATTTTGACGAACTGCAGACTAAGTGAAATATCTAAAAATATACTTTATTAAGAATCTTTTCGTGTTTCAATTAATATACTCAATGTTATAATTTTCTCTTATCCAGCTTCACCATGCGAATGTTCAGTATTGAATCATTTTATATCCTAAAGATCTTTGGCAGTTCTATCAAACATATCATTTTAAAAAGTCATCCAAGCTGACATATTTTCTAATAAACATTTGGCTCTAACCTCAAGATATCTTCTGTGAACATTAGGATGCAAAATTAATATATTTTCCATTTTTTGTTCCATTTCCAAAACAATTCCAATTTTGTGTGAAAGAACATTTTTCTTATGTAATTAATGTTATCTTGCACTGTATAAAAACGATGTAAAATATTAATTTCCTCACTTTGTTTTGATGAAATATTGCCACACCTAACTAACAATGAATAAGGTAAAAAGTTAACAGTTCTACCATAATTTTACTTTCTCATGAAGATTATAACACATTTTTTACATTCAAAAATACAAAAAAATGAGGTTATGTGTTATAGTCCCTCTCATTATTTTTACTCTATATTTCGTTTATTAGATACCTATATAAGTATATAAGTATAATTACAGCGAAGTTTTTGCTTGATAGAAGCTATAATCAATTCAATATATTTACCGGTTAGGCATTACTTATTTCCAGTTAGTACATCATAAAATAACGATTCGTGACGGTTTTCATGAAGTTAAAACGTAATACAGACAAATATTACAGACGACTATGAACTATTGGAATATCTTCTTTTCATAGAATTCCAAAGCCAACTATTTGGTTTTTATAATGAACACTTAGTATTTTTTATATTATACTGGGTTGCTGTTAAAGATGGAAAATAGGAATATATATGAAAATAGGAATACAAGATTTAGAAACTTCATTTAGTCTACAGAAGTTTCCGAAGTGATAAATTTAATGAAGCGTTTAGAATATTTAATATCAAAATATCCAAACTGTTTTTATATTCAGGGTATTTATTATTAGCAAGTAACAATTGCATTGAAAATAAATAAAAATACTAACCTGTTGACCAGTTGACCTGCTCCCAATCATAGAAATTAAAATTTTGTCTAATTTTTAACATTTTCTTTAGATACCTCAGCGTCCTCAGCTATTATTTGATAGATTCTTAAATAATCTTGGGCCAACCTTGAATAATTATTGTAGCAATTTTTAACAAAAACACATTTATTTAAATAAATAATAAATTAAACAGTAATGAAAAATAAATAAATCTAACTGGGGAATGGATCAACTGTTCTCATTTTGATCCCTATTAATATTGAACAATGATATTGATGTAGTTTTTACAAGAATAAAGTAAACATCTGTTAAAAATGTTAATATATTTAAAAATAATTTAATAATTTCACTTTTACCTCTTAAAACAATCAGGATTGTTCAAATTTTAAATAGGTACCATAATTTATTAATATTATTTAATAATTATTTTAAATTAGGATTGGCAAAATGACTTTAATAGCATTTCGTAACGTGTTGCATATAATATTTGTTCTAATTTTGACTATAATATTTATAAAATTATGATTTGGTAAAAAATTACTGACATCTAGGCAACTAATATTACTTACTTTCTTGTATTATTAATTGCATATGATTAACTTTATTCTTTATTGAAAAATAAAAAAATTATATTAAATTATTATAAACGACTTGTTGTAGTGTGTTTATATTATTTGTTAACGTTGTTTAGATTTAAAAATTTGGCTTATTTTGTCGTTTATTGTGTTTTAATTATTTTGTTCTGATACAGAATGAAAAATAAGGACAAAAACAACATTATTACTAAGTTTTAAGTTGAACCAAATTCTATTTTATAAGTCAATCTGCCCTTTTTTGATTTAAACTTTCAGTAATAATGTATATTATTGATTTTATAAACAAAAAAGGTTTATTTTAATTTATTTTCTTTTCGTAACTGGTGACATTCTGAATTTTTCGGAACCAGGATTCATAATATCCAACATTATGCAACTGGTTGCGTAAAATAACTCATTCTTACACTTTCTGCGATTACAAAAAATATCACTTTATATGTCAAAATTAGAAAAAATTATTTAAATAAAAATTGACTTAGATATTTGCAACAAAAGGAATTTACGATTTTATGTAGTAATTTTAATGAGTCTCTGATTATTTATAGCAAACGTATTGGATAATTTCCGAATGAAATTTAGGAGAAATTCACTTTGATTTCAAGCTAAGTAAGTTTTTCAACTTTAACTTTTCCAGTCAAATATTTCATAAGATAAATATTCTAAACAATGAATAAAACATGATCAGTGTCTTCTAAAAGCGCAAGCGTATAACGAGAATACAAACTCCAACAAACAAATCGTACATACAAAGGATTTCATACTACCTTTGAAGTACAGAAACAACATTCAAATTCGCTTGGCATTTCTTCAATTTTTTCAGTCTTCTTCGTATCAGATCTCTTACTGTCGACCTATAATATCAACAGAGTAAAATAACGTTAAGCTTATTTCTATATTTTTACTTTTATTTTGTATATTCTAAATGTTTTAAAATTAAAATGTTCCATAATCCGGATAAATTTTGTGATAAATTATGTTGCTATAATTTAAACCCGTAAAGAAACAAATAAAATAGCAAAAAATCTAATCTTAATTACTACAAAAACTGGGTAATTCAATAATTTATTTCTTATTTAAAAAAAAAACGCTAATGTTCCTCAAGGCAGTGTATTGGATCCGAAATTTTACACTCTATTGACCCAAATATTCTGCAAACTACAGATAAACCAAACAAATCGGTAAATCTGCTCTTTATCAAATGCCATGGTAAATAAATCAATGAACCACATTTCCATTTAAAATATTATCAATGACGTCATCACACTGACACAGATGACCCCTAAAAGGAATATTTCACAACAGCATTTGAATATAAAAGTCAACGAGTTACAAAATAATAAATAATTCCTTTTATTTGCACCATATCAGTGTGGGACAAGGTTTCTAAATTGTTTGAAGAGTCATTCCATTATAGAGAAATCACCGTCAATCTCCTGGATAACAAGACAAGGGCAAAAAACGATAAATATCAATTTGGAATTTTTGTCTAACGAGCTGTACGCATCATACGTGACTCAAACTATAAAACCGACGAAAAACGTAACGCTTTTCAACGTTTTAACGCTATTTGACGTTTTTACGAAAAGTAATAAGACGAAAAACGTGGCGCTTTTCAACGTTTTTGACGTTATTTAGCATTTTCAACAAAAAGTAATCCTTAAAGGCGATGCTTTTCAATACACTATTCAAGTTTTCAAAATAGTCATGCGTAAACACAACAAAATAACGTTAACGCTGTCTGACGTTTTCGTCGATATTTATCGTTTTCAACAAAGAATAATGTGTAAAAGCGACAAAAAATGGTACGCTCTTTAAACTTTTTGATGAAATAGGTCGTTATCAATGGAAAGTAATGCATGAAAAAGGCGAAAAACGTTACGATTTTCACGCTATTCGCTATTTGACGTTTTCAACGTAAAGTCAAGCGCGAAAAAGACGAAAAGTGTTAAGCTCTTCAATAAAAAGTAATGCTTAAAAGCAACAAAGAACGCAATACTTTTCGACGTTTTCAACTAAAATTAAAACGTTATGGTGACGAAAAAGGGGACGTTTTCCAACGCTATTCGCTATTGACGTTTACAACGTAAAATAAGGCGCGAAAACGACAAAAAACGTAAACATTTTCAATGTTTTCGCCGTTATTCGACCTTTTGAACGGAAGGTAACGCGTACTTTGTTTCGAATCTAAAAGTCAAGAGTACAGATACAGGTCCTTTTTAAAAGGTAAACTATTGCTTCAGATATAAATGAAATAATATTAAATCAGTTCCAGTATCCTATTACGCATGCATACTACAATTATACGAAACCGTAGAAGGGCCAGAAAATATTTTTTTATTTTTATGAAACTTGATTTTTCTGACTTGTAACTCAGAAAAATATACTTGTATATAGCAGTTTTCTTCCTTTACCTACGTTTATACCGAACTGGTTGATTAATAATATCATAAATGTTCAGATTCAGAATTTGTGTAATGAAAAATACAGTTTTAAATGCAGGTACACAGTTCACAATCTGGCGAATGGACTAAGTATCCGTAGCCAAGGGAAACCTAAATTTAATCACACACACACACAGTTCACAATGAGTTATTTTCTTAATGACAATATATTTTATTTAATTTTTGAATCAAATGGACAATAAATGCAACCTTCTAGAATGCTTTCTTTATCTAAATGTAAATATTATGGTTTTCAATAGATATTTTTAAGGGTTTAACAAGAACGCTATCAACAATTTAGTATATTACCAGAGATATTATTTAAAAATATCGCCTCTACATAAGAACGAGTATGCTTATTTCGACATAATATATCAGAAAACAGACAAATACGTATACAGTGTATAAAAAGTTGTACTTACTTCAAACACAACCTGTTTTTAAATTGTACCGGGTTGCTAAATAATAAGAGAGGACGCCTGGTACTCCACCTTGTACGACTGTTTTGAATAATTTAATTTGTAATGTACAAAATAATGTAAACTATCTTAAAAATGTTTATAGAAAATTATAATCATTTTAATATGAATCTTTTTAATTTAGTAACTATGATCTAGAAATGAAATTAAGTTCAGGTTTTTTTTTTCGTAAAAAAAAACTTGGCTCATTGTAAACTTCGTACTGTGATATTTTAAGATAAACTTGTTGAATTTCCAATGTTACGTATCAACCGCTTCGGAGTAATCGTACTGTAATAATACTACTATTTTACTGGCTTATGCGATGTTTTTGAGCTCGGTCAGAATATTCTATTTTGAGTTACAAGTGAGAAAAATAAATTTTTCTGAGTTCTCAGTTATAATAATTTATTATTTTGAGTAACAAGTCAGAAAAATCGATATTTCTGAGTTCTCGATAAAAACATATTTGTGGCCCTTCTTCGTTTCCGTTCAATTAGAAACTTCTTTTTACTAAAGTACCACTATAGAAGTAACAATATTTATACTTACCGAAGGCGATACGCACTCCTTCGGCGTACTGGGAATCAGCTGCGTCTCGTCCTGAGCTAGCGGAGCTACGGTCGAGGAAGGTGCGTTCTGATAGAGCTCGTCGACGACGAACCCGAACTTTCGTTGCGAAGAAGGCGAAGCGGTCTGCGGCGGACCCTCGTTGGTTGGAAGACAAGGCAGCGTGGAAGAGTTGCTCCTGCGATGACGGTTGGGGAAGTGGTCGAAGTTGCGGTAGCAACCGGTGCCGGTCTGGGCTTGGTTGCTGCGCCCGCCCGCTATCGACTCCCCCTCGGTGCTGTTGCCATCGGCGTGCGACATATTGTGGCCTACCGACATATCTGAGCATGTCAGCGTGATGGGTTCGAATCGGAGCGATGGACGGCCATGCGTGCGTTCAGCGACAACGGACAGACGTCGGGGTTGGGGCGCAAGACGTGTTGGCAGAACGGTGGTACCGGTATTAGTTGATTAGTTTTTAAATGTATGCGGAATTATTACTAATGTAGCGGTTAGAAATTTATTTAATCGGTTTTTTACCAAAAATATATTTTGTTATTGTTAAAGCCGTACCTCATTGGGATACCATAGCGATGTCGCCAGCAGAGTACTGTCTCCAAACCAAACACATCTTGGTGCTGTATTTCGAATTGACGACGCTTCTACATCAAGGACGTAGCTAAGCCGTTACAAGGTCAGGTACCTGCCTACATATTTATTATTCAACAGGTTCAACGTAAATTCAATTGGCTATGCTGCTGGCGACATCTTCATTACATCCCAGTGAGGTATGGCGCTTTCCCATCAAGCTTCATCAGCCTAGCTATGCCAGCAAATCGAATAAACAAATGATTAGTAATAGCTACGAGAAGGTGAGAAAGGATACGTGTATACGGTTGCTGCTAACTATCAAAATTACATTAAAGCAGCGGTAAGTAGCCATAATTAGGTATACTGCAATCGATGTTTATTGCAAAAATAACGTAAAAGTATATTTTATGAACCTATTAGTAAATATAATAAAAATGTCGGATAAGTACCTAGATTTTGTAAAAATTGCAGGTATTTCATTCTATTTAAGAAAGGCGTCTGGACATCTGTTGGAAACCGCTTATCATAACAATTTCTGGATTTTTTTTTGTTTAGAATATGGGGCAAATTAAAATAATTAAAAATATATTTAACTTAATAGGTAAGTTGCCTCTATGTCGCGTGATATATAAATTTACAAAATTTTATTATGTTTATCACATTATTTTAAACCTTGTTTTCACGAAAACTGAACATTATTTTGAAGTGTGATGTTTTATTAGTTTTTTAATGTAAGTTGCAACGGAAAGCAAACCTGTAAATATGTTTAGGTTTGAAGAAAATTTGTTGACAAATCATTGATTCCCGATAATTTAGATGCCAAAATTCAAATTCTTTTTTAAAAAACTCTTTTATAAGGGGGTCTTTACAACCCCTAAACACACCTAATGAACGGTTTTCAATATTAAAATTAATGCCGGAAAGTATATTTTTCAAAAAGCTACGTTAAAAATAACTTCTACGTATACGGTAGACCTACAATATTAATACTGATATCTCGGTTTTTAAACTGAAATATACCGGAATGCCTGAATTGATTTTTGGACTAGATATTCTGAGTGATAAGTCACAAAGCAAATTCTTTTCTGGAAGTCACAGTACAATTTTTTCCACGAACAATTATTTCAAAAAGGGCTGCCAAAAACTATTCTCCAAGAAGTCCGGACTTAAACCTGCAGAATTTTTTCTGTTGTGATATCTGAAAACCAAGGTTCTTAGACCTGTACGAGCCTATTAGCTACAACATATAAAAAATAATTTACAGGTATTCTTCAGATAAAAAAAAGTTAGTTATTGGACTATTTTAAAAAATGGAACTCCTTCCGGGACATCTTGTATTTCAATTAACGTTTTATCATTTTATTTCCAATCAAAAAAAAATATTGTAGAAACCACATTGCTTTTGTAAACGTTTTAAGCTTTATGAAAATAGATTTCAGAAGTTTGTAGTGACTTTATTTTAGAATAAAAAAAAAGTTGATGATTTACGTTATTTTTGCAATTCAAGACCTCTTTTTAACCCATTGATTAAACTAGTTAAATTTAAATTGTTTCATCAATAAAGATTCCATATATAAATTATGAAATATTTCTAAGTATCTACAAAACATCTGTATAAGAAAGCATTTATTTACTTTTTAACGAAGCCTATATTTTGATTTGCAAAACTTTTTAGGTCTTTCAGTCTTCCTCGTCGAAAACAATGAAATAGTGTTTGTACCAAGTCTACCAATTTTTGAAAATAAAAAAAATATGTCTGTCATTTTGCATTTTTATAAAAACTATCCTTGTCACTCACTTCCAAAAGTCACAAATGTACAGTAGCAGCTATTTCTGGAGACATCCATTTTCCCATCGTTGAAGGTGAAACACTTTTATTACTTTTGTCTATATCTACTTTAAAAAAATAAAATTAATATTTTTTTTTGAGGTATAATTGAGAATTGCATCGAAAAATATTCTTTAAAAATTATAGTACCGATGTTGTCGTTGTATTAATTTTTTTAGTTTTATATTGTTTAATTAATTGTGAGAATAGTATATTAAAATACAAGTTGAAGAAGACCACATATTCCTTCACCAATTCGAAGTTTGGAGCCCCGAGCGACGAAGGAGCGAGTGGACGAACGAATGAGTGCGAGAATGGCCCTCTGCAATGTGTGTTTTACACTATTTTTCCACACCCACGTGGATATTACCTTATCTACGTACTGATTACAAAACGAAAAAGTATGCTATTGCTTTCAATTGAATGAATATATTTCATATTCATTCTAGGTAGTGAGAACACTGCAAAAAAATGAAATCTGCCAATCACCGTTCATATTTTGATCAACCGACTGCTATTATTTTTAACATTTTAAATAAGTGATCATTCTGTCAAACTAATTGTCAGTATATTTTTTAGTTATTGAGATTAAACATACATTACAATGGGTCATTCTTGTGTAGACTCAATAAATAATAGCATTTTTTATTTCGTCTATAATTATAAATAATTTGTTAATTTAAATTAAACTATATGAAGTCAATTTAATTACGAGTATTAAAGCAACGAAAATAAAAGAGTAGATGGTCTTGTGGTTAGCGTTCTTGTCTTCCACGCAGAGGTTTGGAGTTTGATTCTCGGATGGGGAAAAATGAAATTAACTTTTTTCTTTTGTTTTTTCGTTTATTTTGTTTTAAAAATTTTCTCTTTGTCACGACAAGAACTTTGCACCTTACCGTCATGTTGTGATAACTACATGCCTTGAATTAAATCCAAACTATAATTTAAATACTACATTCTTTACCCCATATTTTATAATGTTAAAATGTAATATCCATTTTTCAATCAGTGCTTACACCTAAAAATCTATTTTTTGAAGCCGAAATAGATTTTTTGTTTCATAAATAATTTAGAATGATGTAAAAATGTAGATATTTATTCGATTTGTAAAAAACAATTCTTTAAATGAACATTTTTCGGTGCGTTACTTGTATTATATGATAAAAAAAATAAAAATTTTAAAAACTGCAATATTCTAAAAGACTGTTAATCTGTAGTTAGTATAGCAGCTGCAATTAAAAAATAAATTATAATAACAATAGGAAATATCTATAATATACAGCGTGTTCGAAAAAGTTTTATACAAATAGGGAAAAAGTATAGGTATCTGAAATTTCACAAAAAAACGTTATTAATTAAATGTTTTGAATCACTTGGAAATCCCATAATGAAATATGAAATTTGTAAAAATAAAAAATTTCTTGTACACCCTTTAGTATTGTTTTTGGATTATTTATTGAATACTGTTATGTGAGCCATTTCATTATTCAGTCATGCTCTAATCCTCCAAGTCCCTCTCTGTCTTATTTGGCCTTTAAGGCTCAACTTGTCCGATTATCATACATAATTAAACCCCTTAAGACCAAACCTATGTGACGACTATGGCGGAGGAGCTTTCGATTAATGTTCGAGAAAGAACGAGAGTATTTAGTGAATATTCTGGCATATTCGCCAATATTTTAAATTTGTATATAAATACTGATGGAGGATGAACAAAGTTAGTTATTATATGGACAGTGAAGATAAATAGTAAACAGTTTAAAGACATTCGAAATATATATAAATTAGAATAATAGTGTTATAAAATAAATAAGTGTTTAAATAAATTATTAATAAATAAACTGTTGTTTAAAATAAACAAACATCACAATACATTAAATTAAAATCACTTAAGCATAAGTGCAATCATCTAAACTTGAGCATATTTTTTATTTCCCATCAACAATTTAATTAAAAGTCATATTTTGTTCTATATTGAAATTTAAAAGTATTTTACTCTTCTATATATATTATTATTTTAATTGCCCCTGCATATCTCCTATATTTTACAAAATTTAGTACTTCATTATGAATTCACAAGTGATGCAGAACTTTTTATCAAAGAATATGTTTTTGTGAAATGTAAGATAAAACTTTTTCCATTTGTACAAAACTGTATATATAAAAATTTGTGGAAGTAAGGATAATAATAATATACCTACAAAAAGTAGCTAGATAAAAAAATTACTGTGAATATTGGTAAGGCAATTAAAAAAAGTGATTATATAAAAATACAAAAATTAGACACAATGAGATTGTATTATCTTAAATTATTTTAAAAACTTAAGCAAAATCTCTATTAACAAAATATACAGTTTATGTACTGCAAGCTCTATTCAAAATTCAATTACTAAAATAAATGGAAAAAAGTGAATATAACAAAATTATCAGTTATAATACAGACCTGTTTTTCCAGTAATAAAATTTTTTGATATGCCCGAAAGCTATCAAAATGCCTGGTAAATTTAATTAAACCCTCTTGTGCATTTTCAAACTGAAAAACAAAGGCTTTTTTCTGTTATTTCATCTGACAAAATAGTCAATGAGTTTTATACTGATTAACCAAGCTTTTTTAAAATGTAGGGTATCGAGCGGAATACATTTGCACCCCATTTTTTCTCGGTGTTTTCTAGACTCTATGTACCCTTATATTGAAAAATTAATGTAGTTTCTTGAAATTAAATGGACCAGAAAGTTATTAAAAAAAATTAATTAAAAATTAATTTTAAGAAAATTCAAGTAAAATTTTGTATGGATTACCTTCATAGCATAAAAATATGCAACTACTGAAAACAGGGTGACGAACAAGAATAAATAATATGTAAAACTTCATACGTGAGATGCAAATGCACCCCACTTGGTGATACAGGTACATAATTCTTATAAACCTAAATTGAAAACAAACCAAGAAAAAATTGAAACATCTATCTATCTAAAAACATTCAGTTTGTGTGATATAAAATATACATACTCCCGCTCAGTATGTAATTACTATACTATTGCCCAATCGGTTTGTTTTCATGGTCTTTCCAAATAAAGATGTTTTGGTCGAAATTGAATCAATAAAATTTTTAGTGCTCTTGTATTACCATTGCTTAAAAATGCACAAAAGGGTCAAATACATTTACCTTCCAGCATATTGTTTGGATTTTCTATATAACATTCCCTTATCCGAATTTTTTTTAAGAAAGCATTTATGGCTATAAAGTTTTAAGCTACGCATTTCTGTCTTTATCTAGTTTTCCCTTCGTCTCACGTTCTGTTAGCTTTTTATTTTATTAAATCTAAAGAACAAATAATTCCGATAAAAATAAATCTCTTTAGCTGTAATGAATGATAATTTTCAGAAAATAAAATCTGCCAATATGCTTGCGGCCGCCCCCGACCGAGCAAACTGAACAAATTCGCAAAAAGACGGACAAGCTGATGCTTTGGAAGGAAAAACAGTCAAGAAAAACTGAAAAAATGGTGTTCGAAATAAGAGTGCTTGGTGTAGAATTTTTTTTTAATGCGGTTTACAAAATGGAACACAAGCGAGAGAATCATGCTTTTTTTTTCTTCGATAGATACGAACTTAAGGGTGTTTTATGAGTGTCTGCGAGTGTCTTCGTTTTCACCAATAAGGGCGCACTTTTCACCTGTTGAGAAGACAGCACAGTCTTAGCACAGGTGTCTAACAAAGACGTGCACATCAAAAGCAGAAGAAACGTTTACAGACTTTATTAAAGATAGAGAAATACTTTTTTTGCCACTTTTGGGTTTCTTGATGTAGAAGTAGAGAGCTCATATAGTCAGCGTTAGAGCTGACGATACCATTCACAATGTTTATTAAGAGATATAAGAGTCATTGACAAATTATGGAACTGATACCGCCACCTCCACACAAATGGCCAAATTAAAGTTTCTTAAAGAAATCCACATTTTACGAACAAAGTCCAACTCAAATAGACTCAAAGCTCTGACGTAACGTTCTAGGTAACCAGCATGCGTTCGGCAGTAAATAGTACTAACTTACATCTACATTTACTATGTATTTAGGAAGTAGCAGGCTTCATTTATTTAATTAGTAACAATATAAATGTAATTTAACATGTTCAGAGATCTCGGTTTTCCGCACATAAAGTACTTAAATATTAATATAAAATACTAAAATAAATCAGCACTATTTTTCTTTGGTATAATGCACAAGGTGAATAAAGGACGATTTAATAGAATGAAATATTTCTGAGACAGCAATAATACTGGTTGCTTACACCGTGACGTCACTTATCGTGTCTATTGGTGGTTGCACGTCAGCACTATTTTACTTTGGTCTTATGTACGAGGTGAATAAGGATCAATTTAATAGATGAAATATTTCTAAGAACAGCATTAATACTGGTTGCCTACATCGTGACGTCATACTAATCGTGTCTATTGGTGAATGCACGTATCCTGACTAACAAATGACTCTTAAACTAAGATTTACCTTTATTATCTATTCTCTTTGCTGTTTTTCAAAGAAAATCCATTGTCGAAAGAAACGAAATAGAATTATTAATGATTGTTTTCGATTGTTTAATGTAAATTATTGATTATTTAATAAAAACTGTAAACGCACATTGATTGCATAGTATGTCACAATTGAACAAAGAATGAAGCATCTTTAGAAGAAATAAAGATGAAAGTAAGTTCTTATGACGAATAGTAAAAATATCCATTATAACTATACCTAGTGCATACAATCCAGGACCACAAACTCATATAAAAAAATTACAAAAAATTATACCTCTAAAAAAAATAAGTTTAGTTATTTTTAATATTTAGTAAAATTTTAAAAATTATGGGTGTGTGATTTCCAACAATTTCTTTTATCTGAATTTTACCTTTTTTTGCTTAAATGCACTACATATCAATAACTAAACGTTTTTATAAAAGTTGTCATATTAAAAAAAAACAATAGTGTTTAGAACCAAACTTTTTATGGCTATTTTTCTACATACAAGACATTAAATATACAGACTGTCCAGCGACGGCGGGACACACTCTATATCTAATAAACTAATTGACGGATTTTGTTCATAATTGGTAAAAATAGTGAACATCTTTCAATCTAAAATATTTTGTTCTGTCTTTTACGCTTATAACGGAAGTATAAAGACAACTTTCTTATTTTGAATGGTACATCCCTATTTTTATTCCGGATTCTGATAGAACATAACATTTTAGGGTCACTTTTTATAGTAAATTGTATAGCTATAATTTGTAATTTAGAAAAAAAAAGACTATTGCGAGTGTTAAAATAATATTTATTTTTGGTTAAAATTAGGTAAAGTTTGAAAATGTTTTAATTGAATTATGGTGAAGAAGGTACTAATTATTAAATACATGACATTAAAACATCTCTTTACTAGATGGGAAAAAACATGTTTAACTTTAAAAAAAAAACTCAAATTTTGACTAACCTTAGCCAAAAATAAATATTAAAATTAAAATGGTAATTTTTTTTCAAAAATTCCAATTTTATCTATAAATGTTACAAAGTAACCCACCCTAAACCATAACATTTCATATTCTATCGAAATAAGTAATAAAAATTAGAGTGTCCATTTAAAATAAGAAAGTTGACATGTACTTCCGATATAAGCGGAAATGTCAGAATTCTCAAAATATTTTAGATGGAAAGATCATAATCTGTACCAATAATTATAAAAATCCGTTTATTGTTTGTCTCTCCGCTGCTGGACACCGTGTATATTTTTTAATTTAATAAAAATATATTATCTTTCTATATTAAAAACAGAACTATTTTTGTATATTCACTTTTATTCAATCTAAGAGAGACTCACTTTGGGATTCAAAAAGTGCTGAGAAAATAGTAGTGGTATAATTATAATCGATATTCATTAAAATAACCTCATGCAGGCTCACCTGTATCCACTATCACATCGATGAGATCCATACTCTTGGCGAACGCGTCCCTTAGATTGATATGATGAAACGAGACGATGCTGCCCTCCCTCTTGGCCCTATCCAGGGCCTCTCTCCTCTTCAGTGCCTTCTCTCTTCTCATTTGGTTCTTATAGAACTCAGCAAAATTATTGACTATGATAGGAATGGGCAACGCAATCACCAATACGCCACAAATACAACATACGCTTCCTATAACCTTTCCCAAAGGAGTAGTGGGATAAATGTCACCATAACCTACGGTTGTCATAGTGATACCCGCCCACCAGAACGTTTCTGGAATGCTTATGAACTTAGTACCGGGCTCCTCCTTTTCGGCGAAGTAGCAAAGGCTGGAGAAAATAAGCACTCCCATCGCTAGGAATAACATTAACAACCCCAGCTCCTTGTAGGAGTTTCGCAGAGTGAAGCCTAAGGACTGGAGGCCGGTGGAATGTCGGGCGAGTTTGAGGATACGCAATATTCGCATGATTCGAAATACTTGGACCACTCTTCGGACGTCTTGGAATTGATCGGTAGCGTTTTTGTTAGTTTCGAGCAGAAATAGCGATACGAAATAGGGAAGGATGGCTAATAGATCGATTATATTCAGTCCACCCTTGAAAAACTTCCACTTATTCGGCGAAGCACTAAACCGAAGAATGTATTCCAAGGAGAACCACGTTATGCAAACGGCTTCGACCATCGCTAACTGGGGGTTGTCTTGGACACTACCCTTCTCGTCATTGACCTGCATGCTGGGTATGGTGTTCAGGGTCAGTGCGATTGTTGACAGTATTATGAATAAGATTGAAACGATGGCTATCACCTGGAAGACAGTCGACAGTTGATCCGCTTGTTTTTTGATACACAATATTTTAAATCTGTCGTAATCGACTACAGGGGATAACTTTTAGTTCACATTGTTGCACCAAGTCAACACAAATAATTTATAATTATAAAGCTGATGAAAATCAATTCAAACGACTCAACATTGCTTAGTTGAATATACTATTATTTGGAAAGGTTTTCGTCAGCTATTCAAAATGGTTCTCGTTTTAATCCTGCTTTAGAATATATAGATACATTGTTATTATAACGGATTTAATAATTCATTAACGAGGTGCATTACCAGCACAGGGATCCTTTATTTGGTGAGGTTTGTGTTTTAAAATGCAATGTATTCGGTTCAATTTTTTTAATAAACTTCTCACTTTAAACTCCTCTAGTCATCAGCTACTTTTTAATAGTAAGCTCTTTACCGACATAGAAGGAATACTCTAATCAATTAGGCCTTGTCATCATGTAATGAGCGCAAGCGCAGCAGCCATGTTGAAATAGCGGCAATTCAAAAGTTTCGTACTGTTTTGATCGACAAAGCAATATTATCTCTACATACAAATTAATCATTAGTAAAAATCGTTGATGGCGTTTAACTTTTTTATAACTTTGTGGAAACATATAGTTGTGAGCAATTGAAAAGGTGGTTAAAGTGTCTTAGACATTTGCAACAAGGCAAAAAATGTGTTCCGATTGAGAGGTTAGGTGTATCAATACTTGTTTACTGTATAAAAAATTTATAAAAACAAATTATAATCATAACATTTTAATTAATTATGCCAACCAATATTAGTACTTGCAAAAACACTTTAATCAACATGAAAGTTTTTCATGAGTATAATTAATAAAATAAATTATTTATTAGTTTAAGGATCAACATGACATTTTTAATCATATTACTGTGTATACCGAAGTTGTTTTAATATTAAAAAACTATTGTGTAATACCAGTTAAAGAGTTTCTTCTGCTTGACCACTTTCTCCATGAAAATGTAGTGAACAAATATAAGTATCTTTAGTAACATCATCAATCGATCGAAAACCTTTTGCGCAATTTGAAGATGTTTTAATATGTATTTTGCCTGATAATTTGATAATTTTTTCCGATATTTTTAGCCAAAGCTTTGGAAAATTTATAAAATAATATGTATTGCCTTTGAATGTGTGTCACTTTTACATACTTCATAACAACACCGTTTCGTTTTCTTTTCCGCACACAGATAATATAATTATAATTGACAGCAAAAATTTATTTTTCAATTAAGACACTTATTATTACTTTATATTTTCTTCCTTTTTTTGGATGAATATACTTAAATTAGTATTTATCGATTATAATTTTTTTCACGTGGTCATTTTAACATGCTTGTTTACAAAAAACAGTACGAAAAAGATGACTTATATTGTGACGTATGCGCACAAAAAAAAATATGATGAAAAGGCCTATTAAGATTTAACCTGGGCACAATTGTTTCAGAAGCGATTAAAGTAGTATTCAACTTCACAAATGGTGTTTTGTAGCATATTCAAAGTCCGATAAAACAATTCAAAATTACTATCATTTTTCTAAATAATTATCGAATTTGTTAGTATAATACGAAATGTTTTCTAATATGTAATTTTAATAGGCATGAATCTTGTATGTAGCATTATAATTAAAAATATTTATTAAATGACAGTTTACATTCAATGCTGTTTGTCCCATTCGATTTAGACCAATAATAATGGAGATATAAACTTAAGTTCTTTTGGCATTGCTAGTGCACATTTATCATAAATGGCAACTAAATGACAGTTTACGTGGAATTCCGATTGTCCTAATACAATTCTAACTAATACTCATGTCCTCTTAGAAATGCTGCCACGTATGTTTTTTACTATAAATGACATCAACATAATAGTGCAGGTCCAATACCGTTTATCCCATCCAAATCAACTCAATAAAAATGGAGTTATAAGCTTAGGACGTTTGGGTAATGCTACTGCGCATGATAACTCTACTCTTCGTCGAGTACCGTGTTAGATTGTCATTCCTTTAGCTCTTCTTTGTCTTTGTCACCAGGAGCTTCTTGAACGTCTTCTCTGGTACTACGTCACCTCATCAGCTCCTCTTATCCGTCTTCAAGTCTTTAGAAGTATCTTTAACGTCTTCCCTAGTCCTACGTCATTCTTTCAGCACCTCTTCTTCGCCTTCTAGTATCCAGATACCTTTTTAACGTCCCTTAACCAAATATTTCAATGAACACGAGGATATTGGCGGAAATGTTACCAAAGTGATCTGAGTATCCAAAAGACCCATATCTCATCTACTGCTGACAAGCCTCGAGCGCGTTCAATATTGGAAAATGTGCGATAACATACATATGATGATACATAATGTATAGCATATTCCTACAAAAACTTCACATTTCGTTAGTAATTATAGCGAAGCTATTGGTATCTTTGATGGTTACGATAATGATCCTTCCATTAAGAATAGATAGGCTTTATTGGCAGGGGTTCAATGTGATATCACAAATTGTTACACTATTATTCTGAAAAAGTTATAATTTTGCGAGGTAAGAGATACTCAATTAAAATTTAGTCGTAGAAAGCAACTTGTCTTTCAGAAACAAGTTTTTAATGTTTAAGCAGTGGAGCACACTAAGGATCAATCCTTGGGCTCATGCTTTTCTTAATGTACACAAGCTATTTCACTAGTAACCTACGATTTGCCGGCTTCAACTAAATAATCAATTAGCCTAATATACCGTCAGATAGTGACCGATTTAGGTGTCCCATTTCGCATACAAGCCTCGAAGAAGGTTGAAAAGTACGTCGATGTTGAGTAGAATAAAAGAAAATTTACGAGTGGCTCTTGGGGATAAGACATGGAAAATTCGATTTTCCTTATCAGAAAAATTTTATGAACCCAAAATGCACTTATACATTCAGGTCATTCAAGAAAATATATTTTTCGGACTAGTGACGATATACGTTTTCATACATTCGATGGGCTTGTGAGGAAAAATCTAGTAAAATCTCGATTTTTCCATAGAAGATTACGCCCTTATTTCAACCCTTTAGCCACTTGCAACATTAAAGCTTTTGGTTTTCCGAAGCCTACTTCTATTAATTAATCATATAGTGAAAACGACTTGCGTGGAAATATGGGCAAAAAATAACCTTTCATTTTTGTTGATGAAAATCGAATTTTCTATGTGTTATCCCCAGGAGCCACTCGTAAATTTACTTTCATTCTACTTAAAATCGATGTACTTTTCAACCCTCGTCGTGGCTTGTATGCGAAAATGGGGCACCTAAACCTGTATCTATCTGATGGTCTATAAGAAAAACATGCTACACGGTGGTCCACAATTATCCTAGCGACAATTGGGGTGTTAACCGCGGATAGCTCTAGCCGGAGGTGGTGTAGTTCGATAAATTAAAAGTTCTTAAAAGGGCGCTGTTATTCACAGATAACAAGAAAATAAATACTTGAATTAAGATTACCAAATACTGAACACTAAGATAATGCTTAACCTATAACGACGTATAAGCTCATAACGTGTTAGATAACCTATATTTTCAAATATACAATCACCCGGACAATCATCCAATGGTATATACTAAACTTAACACGTTTAACAGGACCCCGTCTCTGTGGCCTCCGAATAATTAGTTAACAGACAAACTTGGCTCCTTACTCTGAATATTCTCGAGTAGATTTTACCTGTTTAAAATGTATCACATTAATATCTTACTGTTTCCGATGGAGGGAACTTACTAAACTCCACTGATATGCGTACTTCGGCATAACTCATTAGCTGATGGGGTGTGTGCTTCTTCTTATTCGATAGAGCAATTGTACGGTGACTTCATACTGTAGTTACAGTGTCACAGGGACAAATACTGCTCCAGAACTTCCTTAGTATTTCAGAAACAACAGCTTCAGTAAAAGCTTGTGGCTCCACACAAAATTGGGAGGAGAAGGAAAGCCAGGGCCAAAGAAAAGGCGGCAGAAAGGCGGCAGAAAGGTGGTAGAAAAGCAGAAAGGCAGAAAGGTTCTACAAAATTAAAATAATATAAGCACTCGGTCATGGCAAACTAACCCTGGATTTTATTTGACAAAATGCCAGGATTCAATAAAATATCGAGACGTACTCTCAAATATCCACTAGTTCGCTAGAATAAATGTTGCCAATAAAAACAAAAGGATTCTTTTAAAATCAAATAAAAATACCCATCAAATAACACAGGGGCCTTCTATATAACAAATACGAACAGGTGTCAAAGTGATTCACATTTGGATAAATTTACCAAAAATACGCAACTCAACAGCCCAAACAAAAATTCTCCAAATCAATCAAATTAGTATACTTTATAATCCTAAATCGGCTGGTAAAAGATTACCCAAACCCAATGAAAATAACAATATGTCACTCCAATTTGGCCTTAAACACACCTCTCCTTTTTTATCTCAGAGTTTTTGACAAACCCCCATTGACAATGACTAGGAAGCTCGAACATTTTTTGGTAAATGGTATAAATCAGCAAAGTTTTATTACGCTCATATCAGAGGCCTTGACTTTTCAATATGCTGATGAGATGCAGATTTTAAAATCGTTCATTCTGCAGTATCATCATCCCAAATAACAACAATGACCGTTACTACTGTTGATTGTTTTGTTACACCATACTAAAAACTATGGTTTTAAACTATAGTGATATTGAAATAGGATTATCTTTCAAGTTCGTGTACGATATTGTTTTTAAAGGTTCTGATACAACGGCCAGGATATTTGGAGCTATAAAAGCCATAGTACTGGAAAAAGTAATAAATAATAAATATATACAAGCAGCTTCAAACATATTTTCCTTAGACGGGAGCTAAAAAATTGACATAAGTTACTACTATATGAAGGCAAAATAGGAGATTCTCCATAAACACTTTTTCACAGAATGTTAGTAGAAAAAGTTGCAGCGGCTAAATCATTTTTCACACCTGCAC